ATTAACTGAGTTTACTGATTTCCCACATCTGCAACCCAGTGAAGTTCATGACTGTTACGCTGCACAGCTGTGGTTTAAAGCCTCTCTTTGCATACAACTCCCTGGCAGCAGAGCTAAAACTATTTTTGTGTTTTTAACATACAGACCAGTAAGAAGTATGAAAGCCTCCATGTCCCGAGTGAAATACTGAGTGAAATACACAGCTTCCATTAACTTTACCAAAATTCTTACAAAATATAAACTCTGATTAATTTTTAAGTAGAGATACTGTAATTAGAATGACTTTGTTTCCAATTAATTTGACTTAGAAATGCCCAATCTCTTAAAGGTGAAAATACTAACACAGAAGTACCATTATAAGAAGATTTTACTGTGGAATAAATTAGTAAAATTAAAATATATTTGAGCCTTTGGTTCTATTGTGATATATGGAAATAAGAGGAAAAAATACACTAAACCCAAATGGAATCATGCTGTATTTCAGTGAATGACACACACCAAATCAAGAGACCTACCACTACATATTGCTAGAGCAGTATGTGCTCAACAGGAGTGCACAGTGACAAACATGACAGCTCAAACCTACGATTCCACTGAAAACAATGGCAAAGCACCTATGATTTTGACTTGCCAAGATTACACTCTCCATGTATGCCCAGCAGTACCTGTTCATGGGACTGAAATGCAAGAAAAGCTCTTTCCTACGGTTTCTGACTCATCATGAGGAATCACACGGTATCACAGTTACACACAAGCTACACACAAGTTAAAGTTAGTACTCTTGTCATCAAGAAGTGGTGAAAAGCAGTTCTCTAAAATGATTTTAAAAAAGGCCATAGTTCTTTTGTTCTGTAGTGTGCATAAAGCTAACCTGAAACACTTTTTTTCACATTCTCTCTTAGCACATGGTCCATTAGTTGTTTGTTTTGGTTTGGTAAACAAACATACACTATTTATAATTACTTTTCATCTAAGGTTTGTAAGCAAGATTAGAGACTCAAAGGCAGAAAGAACACAGACTAAAAATCAATATTGAGGAGGGGAAATGACCTTTAGACAGGTGAATTATACATAACTTGTGTCTGGAAAAAATTCTTCTTTGGACAAAAAAATCACCTTGTTAAAACATGACTAACCAAACCCTTCATCCCAGCTGTGAAAACTCTCATCCCAATTCTCTTTGACAGAGAATTATATTTATGTTTAAATATATATTATATTTATGATTAAATATATATGCACCACGTACAAGGGGGTGCATATATATTTAATATATGGTGTGGGTGTTTTTAAGCAATGATATATTGCTACTCCATTACCCTAATCCATGAGCAATACCCAATGCTACTTAAATTATTAGATACGATGTTGCTGTAGTATTTCTTCTGTTGCTTGTATTTCTTCTCTGTAGCCAAGCAAAACCCCTATTGATCCTCAGAGCAAGGACAAGGATGTTTTGCAGCATCTCTACTCTTCTGATGGGAAGGCTGGAGGATTTCCCTTTCCCTTCCCTGCAGAAGATAACTTTCTCAAAGTTGTAAAGGTCTGTGAGTCATGGCAAGAACAAAAATCTGCAGAGATTGTGTTTCAAGATTAGAAGATCTTGTTATGGTGCAGCTTTTCTAAGAAAATAAAAACCTTGCAGTCTCAAAAACCCCCAAGTAATCCAACAATACCACCCCTTACAGGTGATGCTGCAAAAAATATCAAGTATCAGGACAGCGAGCAAAATGGTCTGACTCCTCAATGGTGAATGTACCAAGGACGTCCTTGATTTTTCCAACAGAAATCCTCTCTTGTTACAAGGGGGCTCTATTTTCTACTTCATGTGATTCCTTTTCTCTCTGATGCTTTACCAGGAACAGTGATAAACTAAACCTAGAGACAATCAGGAATATATTCTATGTAAATGGGAACACGCATATTCATCTACAGTAGTGGTAGCACAAGAAGCTGTGTCTATAGAAAAAAAGTGACAGATATGGAAGCAAATGGGAGAACTGTTAGGTTAAATCAGAATACATTAATTCAATTTTGAAGTTAAAGGTCCCTAGAAAGTGCAGATTTCAAAACACATTGAACATGACTAAATTTCCACTGAAAGATGACAAAACAAGCTGTATATGCTACAAAATTGGTTCCAGAATGTTTAAGTTCCCGTGTCTCATATGAGTAGTTGCATACTCTATTAACAATAAATTACTATTACAAATGTATATTTAATGTCCCGCTGTTAATTTCTGGCCCTTTAAACTGCACAGACTGCTACTGTGAAATAGAAGCATTTGTTGAGAAGGGATAAGTGTACTTGATAAATTACAAGGATTAACATGATCTTAAATTAGTAAAAGAATTTAGCTTTTTAGTATTTATTTTCTTGATGCTGCTCAGTTTTTGACAGGGGAAGATATGACAGTTATATAAATATACTTCAAACAGAGGATCATCTCAGGGTGGGAAAGGCATCTTTTTGTTCTTTTTTGGTATTTAAAGAACTACATTTTCAGTCCTTGTCAGACCCACGATTTCAGCCTCGCATTCCCTCATGCCTCTGGGATAGCACCACCCAGTGGCTGCAACACGTATGGGAGACCGCTGCTCGGCAAAACCCACCTACACTGCACATTCCAGAGATAGCTGCCAGCAGATGTGAGAATGTGCTGTCCAAAACACCACACACACTGTCAGAAAGCCCATTTCAAGTCAGGGTTACCTGGAAAGACGGAATATGGCTTCCATGTAAATTACTAACTTTTTATTAGTCAATAATTGACCAAAAGCTGTCCCACGATTATCAATCTTAATCTGTATGTTTTTCCGGTTTTCTTTAGGAATGAAGCACATGTTGAGTGGAGGGAAGAGGGCTAAGAGGCAGGGACAGAGTACAATGGGATACGTACACACTCACTATTATTTTGTTTACAAAAGCATCTTCGTAGAAAGTTAAAAGAATAGCATTATCTTTCTTCACTGAGCAGATGAAGTAGCATTGCCAGCAATGCCTTCTGTTCTCAGCCAAACCTTTCATTTATCTTGCAAGCAGCCAAAACTAAACCTGGCAACAATTTGATTTTAGAACACAAGAGGCCCCAACACAGGATGTGAGTGTCAATTATATCAGACAGCTGGGAAAAAAGAGCAAAATCACCAAGGCTTTTAAAAAGTAAAAATTACACAAGAGCTTTAAGCTATTCTTATAACACCATGCATAGAAGCACATGCACAATAATTTTTTTTTATCAGGATGTCCTCTACCAACTTGACAAATACAGAAAATACTTAACTTGCTGTGTGCTCTCCACAGAAAGGTAAATGGAGGGAGAAAGCATTCAATTGATGTAAATGGGAAACAAGGAATATAAGCGACCTAAAAAAGTAGGTAAAATACACCAACACGGTAACTTTACATTAACTGCAATGAGAAGTATCTCTTACTGAACCTTCTATACATCTCAGGCAAAATACTCCAGTTAAGTGCAGCTGCTACTGAAAATAACTCTGTAAGGCCAGAAAAAGATGAATTTGCATGAAGGCATCAGCAATCTGATTTAAAAATAGCAATAAAATAAAAAGTATATTTGCAATAATTTGGACTGATAACTGGGACAAAGCACCTAACAGGTTTCATTCTAACAACAGCTCCAAGGTATAAAACAGCTTGTAAAGAGGGGTGTGGAGGAACATTTCACCATGTGTGAGCTTTCTTTCTTGCTTTGCTTGATCAGAATCTCTTTTATCAATTTAACACAGACTCAAATGTAGAGCAGTAATAGACAGAAAGATCCTTTGCTCCCCACTTGGGCACAAACCAATCCTCCATCATAAACTATATTCCTTTCCATCTAAATTCATTATAGCTGAAAGGAGAAGCAGATTCCTCACTGGATCCTCACCTCTCAGGGACCTCTAAAAGTGTAATTTGAGGTGGGGTAGTTGAAAGCCTTTCAATTACAGGGAAAATTACCCTGTAACAGGAATCTATCCTCTGTAGCATATAAACACATATTATGACATTAATTTTACATCTGCAAAAAACCTCAATATAATTTTATCTCCAGATGTTCTTTTTCTACACAGAAATGTCAAGAGAGGTTATATGCATCACCAGATGCTATGACTGGATTATTAACAGTCAAGAAATTCAAGGCAGAGAGCTGCTGCACAGGCACAGGATTGCATCTCCAGCCAATGTCCAGTAAGTCTGCCCAGCACTATCTAATGCATCCACCAAGTATTTCTACCTAAACATACAACCTCATCTCCATATGTTAGCTCACAATAATTTTGCAATCTAGTACAATCCATTGTATTTGGATTTAGTATTACATATTTTTCTCACCCATTATGAAAAAGATGCTTTAATAAGTATGAGAGAAATATTCATTTGCTGGCTTGTTTGCATGGATACTGCAGAACTGTCATTTGCATATGGTACTGGCATTCTGGCACCTATCCATGGAGTAATCAAACTTCATCTTGCTGTTTTATTTAGCTACAGATCAGGCACTTACATTCATGTAAGTCAAAGTCAACAAGCTTTAAATCAACGGAATTACTTCTAACCTATTAGTATATGGCTTTTATAATTTGTAAGAAACTATGTATTACATTAGTGCTTCTCAATAGATGGATATTACCTCCAAAACACCTTGATCTACATCACATGATTTATGAACTGGAAGACATGTACACAAGAATCTACCAACTGAGTACTGATCTTAGTAAAGGACTGAGAACTAGAAACTCCCATATTTTTATCCTGCTCTGAGAATGAGCTCTTGCCCTACACATCTGATAATCTCCCTTTCTCTGAAGTCAGGGAAGAATCTTGCTGCACAAGATTCATGAAAGGAAATGAAATCTTGAAATCAGAGAACAAACACTCTGGAAAGGAGATATGATAAAATCATTGAAAAAAAATTGTCCAGAATCAAGTAAGAGTTTGAGAGGAACAGGTAGCTGAAGAAGTTAGAATGTTAGCAAAGCTGTGCAGAACATACCCGTTTTTGTTAATGGGCTAGAGAACAGCTGCTGAAGAAGTTTGTTCTCTGAAGTTCGCAACACCACCACTACGTCAGCAGGGAGAGTGTCTCTGTTCTTCTCAAGAAATGCAGAGGCATCATATAATACCTAGAGTGGGAAAACAGAATCAGAAATTTTGATGAAAAGGTTTACCCAAAACTTACTATGTTCTTTAAAACATGAACAGTCAGGATTACCAAGTAGACCAGCTAGCTTGGTCTGAAAAGCAAATGAATTACCTGCAAAGGTCTTAAAAGTGAACTACAGCAGTGTGTTCAGAATGCAAACTGGCTATACAGAGTATCTATATTCATAGAATGCCACTGCATATCAAATTGGCTTAAATGGCTTAAACGATCCTATGCATGATGCAATACAACAGAGATACTTCATTAAAGCTTCAGTTGATCATTTACTTGTGACGTAAGAAATGGTTCTCAGGTGGTCACTTTCTATTGGCTGTCTCATCAAACCTGTGATCTATAAGTAGACCTGCTGGAGGAACAGTAGAAGTTGGACACAATGTAGGTACATTAAATCAGCTTCTCATGGCACTGAAAACCATATTAGGACAACAAAACATTCCTCTATTTCAATTATTTTAATTATTTTCAATTTTGATTAGAAATTAATGCCTGGATACTTGTATTAATATAAGAATTAGTTAATTTTTCATCTTGTTTAATTGCAATGATTTTTTAGAGATGTTTTATTATCACCTGCAATATTCCTCTCTAGCCAAATTTCCCTGAAGTCCATTAATTTACACAGAAAGTGAATGTTCTCTGGCAAAAGAAAACTTGGCCAGTATTGTTTTTATTATTTGGCCATGTGGGTACAAAGAATTAACTAAAACGGTGTGAATTTTAATAGTTATCCTTAACAAGACAGAAAACCTGACCGAAGTTACTAGAATACGTCTTAAAATTTTGGAGGCTTATAATGATCCAGAGAAGAGACTTAATCGATAACCATATAAAACATGGACATTTCAATTTTGTCTACAAACAAATATTTGGGTCTGAAACTGCATGCAAAGTTCATGTTATGGTGAAAGCTGGACTGTTACTCCCCATATAAAATAATACGTGAATGTGAACCTCTGAGAACAAAAGATACAAAGTACAAGAAAACACCTCTACTAGCAAGTCCCAGTCTTTCCAATGCACTGTATAGGATTTTAAGTTCTGTTAGAGATACTGGTTTATATTGCTTTTCATGCCTATACTTTGCATGACACTCTGCAAGACACTCTCACACAGAACTACTGTGGCATTCACATGTTGTTACCAAGCACACAGCCTGCCCTGGCTCCAGAGTCCCTCCTTTGAAATGGCTGCAGGACTGGCATTTCTGAGGCCATGTTTCCTGCAGAAAAAAGATGCTTACTGTCTACAGAATCTGTGTAAGAGCCCTAAGGATAGGCTCCAAAATGGACTGCTACACATAAAAGTTTCATTGTAGAGTGTACATCTAACTAACAACTGCTAAACATTAAAGTTTATAATATTTTCTATTAAAATGAGAGGGAAAAAAGCAGAAACTTTGGATAAAAACAAGTGATGACCATACCGCTATTATCTAACCTAAAGAATAATCACATGACCTTACCTTTCCAGCATAGTGCTGAATTCCAAATGACAGTTCCACTCCTTTTGGTCTCCAAAAGTATTTGCATCGTAAGTTATCTTCAAACTTATCTAGACATTGAGAAAATATGTTGATTTAAGTCACAGAGTGATTAATTACTATCTTCATCCTAATTAGCTTGCTAAATTGCTGCTCAAGAAGTCAGAATTGCTATAAACACATATTATCAGATTGCTCAGAAATACCAAGCTGTCACATCTGAATGGAACAATTCATTTTCAACTAGCCCAGTAAGACTGTCGTTAAAATCACTGTTTGTGGATGCTTTTGTACATGGAAAAATATTAAGTAGGAAGACCCAATGAGAAGATGTGATGATTTCTCATATTTTGCAATGAATCTACTAATGTAAATGCAGGGTTTGGGGTGAGGTTATTTCTTATACATATGTACACTCAAAACTGTGCATATATCACAGTCACTTAAATGCCTACTATTTGTATTTTTTCTATCTTCCTTTCTGCAATCATTTAGCTTTGTGCACCAGGTTTTAAGGATATGTTTATGTGCTCAGTCTGGAAATGTCCCTCATGTACCTTTGGACTTCTGCAGAAAAAAAAAGAAGCTTCTCTATAAAACCCCTTCTAAGGAGACTTTCTGTTTCCTGTGATTACCCTAAAGAGCTGACAGAAGAAGGGACACAGGTTTCTAAGAAAAATGTCTTTTATGCCCTGAGATAGTTTGTAGGCTCTTTAGTATTTCGTAATGAAATTAGTGCTGTCTGTCCAACACTGAGGGCTCAGGTAGCAATTCCTGCCTGCTGAGCCAAGGAAACATCCCTGGAAAGAAGCAGGATCCAAAGGAACCTGAAGTAAGAATTTAGTAAGAATTAGTGTTTATGCAGTGAAACTTGCTTTTATGCTAATTTACCTGAACAAGCAACTAGAGACCTGAGACCAGAATAAATTGATAACATTCTCTGTCATGCTGTGTACATCAGAAAATATTATTAAAGTATTTTTTCTAATGTTAGAATCCATTAACATTTTTGTTAGGTTTTTCTTTCTATTGCCACTTAATCGAGCTTGTATTTAAAGCAAAAAGAACTAAGTTTGGAATTTCTGGAGGCTGGGAAAGAGTCATGGAATGAATGATTGTCTGGAACACCTGGACAGGGCAAAATATCCCACTCTGCTGTCTGCTTGAGGGACCCTGCTCTGCTGTGTGCAGACCAGCAGTAAGGCCGATCAACGCTGGACAAGGGAAAGTACCTCTGGAAGCAGAAGTTCAATAATCAGTATTAACTCATTTATACAAGCCAACAGGGAGGCAGAAAACTTGAGCACACAAAGGAGGACTGTTGGAGGCCCACCCTGGAGTGTGCCCGCCTCTGGGGTTCCAGCCGCCACCCCGAGGTTCCCGCTGCAGCCCAATTCTCCATCCAGCTGCCGCCACTGCCCCATGAGGGAGACGCGGCCGAGCTCGCGCCACAGCGCCCCCTGCCGGCGCAGGGGAACCAGCGCACCCGCCCTGCCGGGCCGGAGCCAGCAGCGCCCCTGCCGGCCGAGACCGGAACTGCACGGAAGGGGAAGCGCCCGCAGCGGGAGAAGGCGGCCACGGGGCTCTGCTGCTGCTGCTGCTGCTGCCGCCAGAGTTGCCGCAGCGGGAGAAGGCGGCCACGGGGCTCTGCTGCTGCTGCTGCTGCTGCCAGAGTTGTTGGCTCTTCGTCTTGTTATACGTATCTACATGTGTATATATATTAATAAAGAACTGCTATTCCTTTTCCCATATCTTTGCCTGAAAGCCCCTTAATTTCAAAGTTATAATAATAATTCAGAGAGAAAGAGGTCATATTTTCCATTCCAAAGGAGGTGCATGCCTTCCTTGGCAGACACCTGTGTTTCAAACCAAGACAAGGAGCAGAATCAAACCATAGTACTCATTCTGTCTGTGACCTGAATTCCAGTTTCAACTCAGCCTAGCAGTAGTGAAAAATCTTGTGCATGTCTTGTGCAATTTAACTGGAAACTGGTTTTCTCTAACAGTTTGGGTCTCTGCATCACATTCCATTGAAGGAAAATGGAACTCTTGTTTCATATTGCAGGGAAAAATGCAGCTCTAGAAAATAACCTCAAGACAACAGCTTTAAACAGGGCATGTGCTGCGTATTTAAAGTTGGCACCAAAATTTGTCAAAATATATATAAAATATGTATGAAGACAAGGAAATACTCAGCCAAATGGCACACCAGAAATAACATACACTTTCTATTTATGATGAGATAATCTGGAGTGAAGCAGTATTTTCTAATTGGATAAACATGGGCCTAGGAGCCTGGGAGGTCTAAATTTTACTTTCAACACTAATTCTACATACATGGACAAGACACAGGATGTTTCCTTGTAACATTGAAAAAACAATAAGCCCTTGCCACCTAATACTTAAAACAAATTTTCCAATTTGAAAAGGATAGAAAACATGTAAGCAGAGAAAAATTATGACGCACAATGAGAAATATATTAGAACATCAAATGAAATGACACAGCCTCAAGACAACCAGGGCAGGAAAATTTGAATAAAGATGACATTGCACTTATAATGCATTTGTCATTTCCCAGATCTTTCCCAGAGTTTTACTTGCACATACCAACTAAAGTTAGGTCTGTTGCCTGAGGAAATCGACTTTCTTCATCTAGCAGAGACAGGAGACCCATTGGTTTCTGAAGGAACATATCTAGAAGTGGACGGTTGTCCTCATACTCCACTGTAGTGGCATCAATTCCCTCACTCTGATATTCCATCTACAAAAGTCACCAGCACAGTTTTAATACTGAAACAGTAAAAGCAACATGATCATTAGAGCATTTATGATGCACAGCAATGCTCTGTAGGCCTCAACAACATTATTTACAAAACTGCGACAGAACAATGTCATTATCTCACATTTAAAGCACATACTCATTTTATAAAGTAGTCCTGAATATGATTATGGTGTAGGATTCTGGATTCATCTAGACCTCAACAGAGTTGAATTTACCTGTTCCAGTGCAAAAATGTGTTGATTGAAATAAAACTGGATCTGTTCATTAGCAATATTTATGCACAGCTGTTCAAAAGAATTTCTTGTGAAGTTCTCAAATCCAAATATGTCTAGTATCCCAACATTCATCCCACTTTCAGCATTGCTGCATGTGAAGATACAAACAAAATTCATTAAGGGCAACACCAAGCTAAAATAAAAATAAATTTGCTAACTAAGTTTGTATAACTAATTCACTCTGCTACAAAAATAAAGGAGGAAAAGTATGCCTAAACCTAAGATAACTTGTGCATTTGTTTAGCATTGCTAAGTCTTCTGTTTTCCACTTGCTTCTTGCAAATTTTCATGAAGAAGGTAGGAAAATCATAGGTACAGAGTAACAGACACTTAGCAGCCATATTGAAACAAGGGGTTTCAGTAGGCAGATCCCAAATAAAATCTACTGTCCGCTCCTCCAGGCAGAGAAAAGGTGTCAAGGTTTAATGGTACGTTTTCCCTACACTTATTCAGAAGGGTAATTACCAAATCTGCTGCTGGACTGTTAATAGTCCATGTGCTAACTCAAGTACACTCAATCACTACCAGAACTGCATGAAATGGATGAGAATATGTCTATATGACATAGTGAAGTAGCAAGTAGAGATCTCAGATCAGAGGCATTTTCTCATTTGCTGAGAGGTTCCCTTGCTTCTAAAATCTCTACAGCTTCTTCAAAAGATCAAACCAGCCAGATCAGTGCCTGGCAATGAAATCATAAGGATGTGCAATATAATGTTTCTGTAATTGTAAAAAAAAATTTAAATAATCACATCTCAAGTAGCAGCACAATAATAATCTGAAATCTGCATTTATTACTTGCTTACAAAAGCAGGACTGTGTACTGAATCTTTTCAGTGTACTTTAATTATTTATCAGTCTTTTGTATGATTTTCATGTTCACTACACAGGAAGCATCCTTCAAAAAAACTGGACAGCACTTCAACCACCCAATTTCCATTGACTTCAGCAGCTAAATTCTATTCAGCTCTTTGAAAATGATGGGCTTAATGTCCTGGAAACAGGATTCAGTATCACAGCATGAAAGCCATTTTGAAGCCTTAGCCAAAATAAACACAGCACTTTTTCTGCAAAATCAAAAATATACAAATGGATGAACCCATCCGACATATGCACAGTAAGTACACATGATTCAGTGATGTGTAACTTGCCATATATTTTTATCTGGCTGAAGCAGCGTATTAATACGATTTACGATCCAGCTGAAGAGCCGGCCATAAAGAGCTTTAGACATGGCATCCCGCACGTCCGCTGCTTTGTCCACGGTGTTCGTCCGGATTATAGTCTCGCCCCGTGTTACAACACAGTGGGAGGTTAGGGCTTCTTGAAGTTCTTCTGACCCAATGCTTAGTAGTGCAGCAGCTAAAAGACAGTGGAAAAAGACACACAGTTGTGATCATGTAGCAGAAATCACCAGCATTGACCAACTGCTACCATGAGCTAGAGACTATCACAAATAGAGTCACGTTGCATATACACAACTGACAAGGTTGAAAGATATATACCATTATCCAAGGCTTCTGGGTTAGGAACCTCACTTTTATCTGTTTGGTGTTGTGAAGAAATAGCAGCAAATTCAATATTTCCAGTATTTAAGATTCCAGTCAGTATTCTGTATACTGAATACACTTCCTGTAAAAGATGACAAGAAGCACTTTTAAGGAATTCAGTTAGACACATACATCATATTTAGGCTATGAAGGAAAAACATAATGGATACTGGAATGGATATTAAAGCTTGTAGCATTTTCTGAGACCAAGATCTACAAGTTCAAGTAAGCTTCTATTTACACAAGAAATAGCGCAACAGAATTTCCTGAGTATTAACTGGGACCTCAGGCTGGTCTTGCCTTCTGAGTGGGGGGTTATGCTTTCACAGTTCACTTCTGTCATAACAGAGATTTTGTGGCTCACAAACTTTTGTACATCCACAAAACCAAAGGGCAGCACTGGAGGTGGTTTTCATAAATAAGGTCAATAATGGTTTAGCAACTGAATCTCTTACCTCATCAGTAAATCCTATAATTCTAAAACAATGCTGAATTGCTTCGAATTGTCTTCCATAGGAATCTTTAGTAACAATATCATGCATTACTCTTCCAGTTTCATTATCAATATATCTAAACAGAGTGGGAGAAATAAGGCATCATACTACCACATACGCCAATACAAGGTCCAGTGACTTAAATGCAATACCTCAGTAACTGGAAAGAACAGTTATCTCAATAACTTTCAATTATATAGTTTGATGCTAATTCATAAGAAGCTTTTGTTTCTGTTGCATTAACATCTGCATTATTCTTTGTTGATGTCTAATAATGTTACCGACAATTCACACACATCGTCTCACCCAGTACAGATCAGATGCACTCAAAGTACAAGCATCAATTAAAAACCTCCAAAGCATATTCTGGGTTCTTCCTGAACCTGAAGCATTATGGTAAGAAATCATAAGGAGAGTTGTCTGCATTTGAAAGTATGACAAAATATCTACATAATGAGCTTGGTTTTTCCTCCTTCTGTTTTAACAGTTCAACTTCTCAAAGGCAAATAATTTAATGCCTTAGTGTCCATCTTCTTCCCACCTAGGGAGGATTAATAAAGATCCTTAAGGAATGGAGAAGGATTAAGAGAGATTTGAAGGCATCATACTGAAAGCAAGTGCTGATCAATAGCTAATTACAATGAGCAATTAAAACAAGAGAGCAATAGTTACCTAGGGGGCTTTTTATCAGGAAGTCTATATTCAGAAAGTTTCTTCTGATGATAAAGGCCAGCATAAATATAATAAAATATATGGAAATTTTTTTCTCCCCTGGGGAAAAAAAAAAAAAAGTATCCTTTTAAAACACCTGTGTTTGTTCTTGTGGCATCTTGTACAACAAATGTAAAAGTAGTTCTTATAATGAGCTCACTGGAGCAAGGTAGCAAATCTCCCACTTGTTTTAATAGTGTAGGATTAGCAGCTCTGAAACACAGAAAACCCAGTGAACACAACATTACCCCAAAGAACTAAGTGGCTCTGGTTTCAACTCCAGAAGAACAGGACTATTCTTGTCATAGCACAAAGGTTTTTTATTTTAGCAGAAGACAGAAAAGTATCTAAACCACAGAATTTTTGATAATTAAATAAATTCAAACACTACATAAATACTACAGGACAGACAATTAATATACCTACACAGCCTGTTTTATGACCCTTGATTTTTCAAGTAGATATTCAGAAATCTTTGCCCCCATTACAGCTCCTGTAGGTGTAAACATCATTTCCAGATATTTTCCAAAGCGACTTGAGTTGTCATTGATGGCAGTACAGGCATTTCCAAATGCTTCAACCAGAGGATTCACCTGAAGAATCTTCTCACGCAAAGCACGGTTATTGGCCTTGACAGAAGAGATACAAATCAGAAGGATAATTAAAAAGAATATAATGCTTACCACCAATCCAATTCTTGCTCCAGAAGCAAAGAATCCCTTTCTCATGCTTGCATGGCATTAGGTACTGTGCTAACCTTTCTATTTATACAACAAGAGGTCTAACAAAATAAAATCTCCCACAGGTAGCAAAATACAGATTCTTCTTTCTCTGCAATTGTTACACCTTTGACTTGTTTTATAAGAGTTAAGAGTACCAAAAGCACAATGGACAAAAGATGCCTACTTAGGGTTAAGCTGACATGGTTAATTTTCCAATTATTTTGTGTTAGTAGTATTACTTATAACATTTGAATGTGTAAGAGCTTCTAAGATTAGAGCCACAATAATAGTTTTCATTCTTTACTGTATAAACAATTTTATATGTGATAAACACTGTACATACCTACAGGTACTGAGCACTCAGAATCTGGCACCTTCTCTTTAAAAAACTATTGACTGGCTTGGTGTGAGTCACACTCTTGCATCTTAATTCAATACTCCCACATGCATGATTACTATGTCCCTAAATCAAGTGTGACAATTCACACGAACAGCTTTAAGTATTAAAGACTAAATAAAGTGAACATTGGGGTAGGGTTGGGAGGATTTCTTCATAATTTTACATAATTGGCTAGGAAATACCTTTCCCAAGAAGGTCAAATGTTGGACGATCAGATGGGCACTTTCTGTCTTTCCAGCACCACTTTCCCCACTGATGATAATGCACTGAACACACAAAACAAAATAGTATTTAAGTGCATAGTTCACCATATGGTTGTTTTCTGCTATTACTACTCCTACCTCTTATTTCATGTTTGGTACCAAAACTATAGAATACTTTAAGGGTCAACTCCCTTCTGAAAGGAGATACCAGCAAAGGCTCAGTGTAGTAATTTATTCCCTAGACTGCTAAAAGGCATTTTTCAATGCCTGATCCCAAGGTGCATGTGTGAATTTTGAAGGGCTAGAACACATAAACAAGTGACCATGACTGAGCTCACTGCATTGACTTCATATGAATCACAGGGTACAGCTGTTTTTGACTCACTGACCAAAAGCTTGCTCTGAAAAATAATCTTAAATAATAGGTCCCGTGTAGAGAGGCTATTCTGTAGGTGATGCTGATATTCAAGCCAGAACAGCAAACTAGCACCTAAGTTTCAGAAAAATGTGCAACTGTTCACTGGGTGATTCTGGGAGGACAAATCCACCTTCTTCCTGTGTCAGCAGTCCTTAACACATGGTATTTTATAGGTTCTTCAAAAGGCTTCCAGACTCAAGAGGCCACCTAGAATGCTCTAAATCACTTTCCTTCTCTCTGCTGTTATACTTCACAGGCAAAATGGAATTTGAAAACCAGTTTCCAACCTGAACACTGAAGAATGCAGATCATGGAAAGTTTGAATTCTAACAGCATTTATTATTACCCTTTTTTCCCCATGTATTCTACAGACCACCAGTACAAATATTATTCTACTTAAGGCACATTATCAACTGACATATGATTCAAATGTTAACACTGAGCAGTTGCATAGGTTCACAGGTTTTTATGCAAACATCCAAAAACTATTTGCATGATACTGTGTATACACAAGATTCTTTGCTAGGAAAAGATACAAGGTCCTAAAGTACTTGATGCAATGCCCCTTCATATAGAACAGAGCTTTGTGAAAAGGTTTGAAAGATGCAGCAGTTATCTGGTGGTACCTTGTGGTGTCTGACAGCAGGTACAGGGACCAACTCTACATAATGTATGCAATATGACATTTGCAGCTCATTTATTTGCTTTCTGTCAGTTATTTTTGCTCTAGGAAACAGGTACCACATTGATTACACTACCTAACTGTCCCAGGGTGACCAATATTTTCCTCAGATAACAAATTCTCACATAAGTTACTCTAACATGAGTACTTGTTTTCTTTAATACCTCAATCAAAGAACATGTAAGTCATTAAAGGAGTATTAGCCATCTCCCAGGACAGTGTACTTTCACATAACAGTAAAACTCCTGTTTTATTCCTCTTCAATGTCCCTTTTATTTGTTTTAATTTCTTGGAATTTTCTGATTTCAGGCTTTTTATTCTGGTTTTGTGACTTTAAGAGAACATTTTCTATTAATTATTGTGTGATGTGTAGGATAAAATCAGGAGGATTTTATAAACAAAAATAATTATCAGCTTTCAATATTCATGTACACACAGCACATCAAATTAGAAAGAGTATGAAGTTATAATCTTAAGAATGTAGTAAAATCTTCTACAACATGGTATTTTATTCTCATTAAAATCATTGCTATATAATTGGATTTGTGTCATTATTACATTTATAATAGAACCATACTTAATTTATTTTACTAGAAAATTCTCAAATGGTTCCTATATTTTGTGACTGTCTTTTTGCAACAGAAAAGTGCTTCTATGGCATTGAGAACCCTTTATTTAACACACATATAAATTATTGAAATAAGTAAGTCAAGACAGACCTAGGATCAGAATGTGCAGCAATACTTTGCTGCTGGACTCAACAGCCAGAACTTCATGGATGTCCAGAAAACTATATTGGTCAGGTACCTCCGTCATCTTATTTGACCTTTCAGTCCCTTTCATATCACTGTGTCCTTTTCAAAACTCCCAAATCCAATCAGATTTCTACTCTGGTTTTGCTGATTTAGGAATAAAAGGCTTAAAGGAAAAATGTCCCAAAATACAACTTAACAGAACATTATTCACAGCCCTGTAGCACAGCGGCAGTATGAGTAATACAAAACCTAAACCAAAATGAACAGATCCTTACCTGATCCTTGCTGAATGTAACCATGCTTTGGTAGGCAGCATCTGCAGAGGCAAATATGTGGGGGGGATTTGATGAACGCTTCACACCATGGTAAAGCTTGGAGAACTAAATTCAAAGAAATACACACAACAGTCAAAATATGCAACTTAGCTACATAATTAAGAACTGAGAAGAAGACAGTGACTGTCATCTGTTCAACAGAAAGAAGTTGCCTGTTATACCACAGAATTTCCACTGAATCACCTGGAACAGGAGTGGTAATTCTTGGCACTACCCAGTTCCCAGAACACAAATTACAACGCCTAGAACACACTCTGATGTTTCCCACACAAGACAATGAAGAGAGCTGTATCACAAGGAAGAGAATTTCAAACGCAAGCCTTCAATCAAGTTCATACAAAAGAAACTTACAGTGAATCTGAATTCTGGCCCCCTATCTGAAACCTTGATTTTGGCATTCATGGAGACTAAGTTATTTCTAGCTCCACCTCTGGTCATATTTGTAGGGAATTAAACTGGCCTTTATGCTTACAACATTTGATTAATTTGCTTCTTTTAAGGCAGAGCTGATGGCATAGGACATGTAATAAGCCTCAGTCAGAGCAGTTGAGGAGGTTCATATAACCATCTTCTGTTTCCAAGAAGAAAGCCCTAAATGCTATTTAAGAGGCACAGCTGTTCCTGGGGTAATCTCTGTCCCTCCTGTGGAATTTGTGCCTCCAAGAAGTGAATAAAATAAAATGAAACCAAATTTAACAAACAAAACAAAACAAAAATTTAGCAACACTGTTCTGGAGAAAGAAAAGGCTGAGGTTTAGTCTGTGCTTCTAACTTCCAGCATCACTTAAGTATTTTAGCTAGTGGTGTTAATATAAAATGTAAAGCAACTTCCATCTTCAGCTTGGGAGTCTCTCTTACCTGGGGAGAATAAATGCTGAGATTCTGGAAGGGGTTCAAGGCTATTAAAATGTCTCCAACATAAGTATAAATCTGTAGGTCAGCGTAACGTTTTTGCAGCTGATGGATAATTGTATCCTGAGAAGATTACAGAAAGTTTGATAGTTATACAGTATTTTCCCACTTAGGAAGATTTCTGTAAATATACTGAGAACATTGTTTAAGAAATACTAATTTTAAGTGTTTCTAATTATATTTTAAATATAATTATATTATATTTAAAAAATAAACCCACAAAATAAAATGTTTTCAAAATTCTTGCTAATGTCATAAAACTAAGTTAAATGGCAACTCCTAATTGCAAATTAGAATATTTTCTTATATCAGCTTGAGAAGTAAATCTTCTGAAGAGAAAATGGTGGTAACACATTATTGTTGCACTTCAGAGTACATGTCCATTTAATTATTATTTTTTCATTTGCCAATGAAACAAGGATAATAATTTTTCAAGGATTAAATTTTAAGTAGTGGTAGAACTGTTAACACGGGACAATAGCACAATTTAGTATTATGTCTTTATCTTGCTGGCATGTAATTTAAGGATTATCAACACAAAAATTTACAGATACTCTGCAAATAGCTGATACAGTGAAATATGAAATGGATAGTTTTGCCATTTTTAGCCAGAAGCAGCAGATAATATGTTACCCTATATAAATTAATTATTGTAGAAAAAATCACTTAAAACTACATCTTTATGACTATACTTTGCATTTTAGGAAACTCACAAAAATAATTTAAACTAGCACCATTCATAATTAAGCTTTTCCACATTATAGTATTCACTGCTACTACTTTTATGCAACTATATAAATTAACAAAGTGAGGACAGCAGATCAGTCATGTGAGAATTCTTTTGCCTTGAAGGGACAAAAGATTGCAAGATGGAAATATTCTAATTCTGCTAAGAGATGCCTAAAAAGCAGAAATAGGGAAGAATGTGAGGTGCAGTTGTCAGAAGCTCCTACCCAGACATTACAGTACCTCATTGAGAACTTCTAGATTTACCAGATCGTCATCTAGAGAGTACTTGTCAGCTCTGTCCACATGGTAGGGTCTTCTAGTATGTATTCGTTCATGCCTGGAAGTTGTTAGTAGAGCACCAGTGTCAGGAAGTGTGTAAGGGACAGGATATTAAGATGCAAAGGGATGTCCCGGGTGAATGTTTTTGTCATGCACAAACACAGACATGCTCTCTAAAATACAGAATTTTGCTTGTGGTATTCTTTTATAAAAGCAATAGATCACCTTGCTGTCCCGTGCACTACCTGTTTCCTCTTTCACAATATATAACCCTATCTATTTATCAATGTTCAGCAAAGATTTACTACTTACAGACTTATTACTCCTCATTCACACTCAGTAAACTGAAAAATTCTTCCTCTTTTCCCTTCCCTCACTGCTCTAAGTTAATAAACTACCACTCAGTTTAATTAAATGTTACCCCCACGTGCCCAGCCCTAGTACTGTCATCTAAAGAAGATATAAGAAGCAGTAAGTAGGATAAAATCCTGCTGTTACCTTGATGTATGCCAAAGTGCCTCCTCAGATGACCCTAGATGTGGCCCAAAAAAATGTTTTTGAACCGCAGCTGCCATCAGACTCTAAATTGTATGGATGTTCAGTCGGCTTGTCTCCAGAGATTTAAGCCACACAACAAGCAGCAGAGACAAACTGTCACATAACCCCTTTATAATCAGATTATACTGAAGGAATCTTTGAAAATGTGGCATATATGTTTTTAAACAACACATCACGTTGAAACGGGAACACATTAAGAGGCTGTAACATGTCTTCCACAGAGGGTGTGAAATATGAATGCTGTAAGCACAACTAGGCTTTTCTTTACAACAAACATAATCAAAGCATAGTAGAAGGACACCCACCGAGATACAGTCTGCATCCTGCTGAGTAACATTTAGCATTGATCCTCAATGACAGTCCTTGACAGATTGTTTTTGCATTGGTTGCCATGTAGAAAGTAAGATCCACATGATCAAGCATCCCAAAACAAGGCTAAATATTGTACCAAACAGTAACAGAACAGCACCTTAAGTTGGCAGGAAACACTTGTTTATCTATAATGTTCAAGGTTAATGTGAAGATGTAGCAGGTTTCCTTAATCATATCTTCATATGCTCTTGGAATCCTTTTTTTAAAATAAACATTGAGGCATTTGCATTTCCCTCCTTTATGTACACTTCTATATTTCAAGCTAATCAGCTTTCATTCAGTAAAGAGAATGTTTTCATATCCAAGAGCTATTACATCATGAGAAGAATTATTGTAAGGAAAGCCTCTAACACAGAGGAAGGAGAAGAGTGTTAGCCATGAACACAGCTTCCCCGATAACTGTGAATCACATCAAATGATCACACTTTTCGGTCTATTTTTATTCATTTTCCTCATTTCCTTTTGGCTACTCAATGAGTTTTAGAAAGCTGTAATGGTTTATTTGAATTGTAACTAAATAAAACCGTGCAAACTGTTTTGTCAGCTAGGAAATAAAATGGTGGGAAGACAGCAGCTTTTGCTGACAGTCCCACTACATTCCACAGATGGTAGTTTGCTTTATGTTGTACATACGAAGCAATGGAAGAAGGACACAAGAAGACAAGAAGCTACGAAAGAAAAATTGTTATAGTGGGTATTATTTTCCATGGGTAGCATGGTGACCATTTGAATTGATTGAAAATTTTATTCAATTAAATCTTCCCTTTTCTGGTCTTTGATTAGGTATTGGGTTGTGGGTTCTTTTCGGCTTTTTTTTTTTTTTTGAGTCACTATATGCAAAAACATTACACTTTGCTGACAAGCCAGATCCTCAAAGGAGTAAGAATGAATGATGTACTACTAGGGTTTTTAAGTGTTGTTTCCCTTTCACACCAGAATTCAAGCTCTTATTTTATTGTATAGAAAAATACTGTTGTAAATAATGTAAATAATTTAGAGATGGGAGTGCCCCTCCGTCTACAAACAAAGAAAATATTGTAACAGTTGCTTTACCTCATGAAGATGTAACTAACAAAGACTAGCTAGAGGTTTTAGGTAACGTAACTCATCTGTGAAGCTTTTTCCTCCTGGAGCAAAACTTCATAGCCACAATACTGAATTGCAACAAACTGCAAGTAGGGACACATCTACCAGAGGTGCAAGGAGGAGGGGGAAGAGGGCACATGCAAACCTAAGCACGTCTAATTGAAGAATGGCTTTGTAAACTAATCTGTTATCTGATTGTGTATTAAACTCCTGCTGTTTGTTCACCTTAAGTGATAAACAAATCTTTTTTTTTTTTTTTTTTATTGGAAAGGGTTCCTTTTAAGTCTATGTAAATAAATATGCATTAAATATAAGTAAAACATATACACCTTTGTGCAAATATTTTCTGGCACTTAACTCATTTTCCTAAGTACATGATTAAGAAGAGGATATTAGGAGCATAACATCACATTAGCTTCAAATCTCCTGCTGGCCTCATCAGTTTTCTACTGACCCTACGTCCTCCAGTGCATTGACAGAGTTGGAAGGAAAAAAACCAGACCTTTAATTATTTCCACAATTTTACATCAGAAATACAATCTGCTTTTAATACATACATTAAAAATTCTTAAAAAGCAGAAGGAAACACTCATAATTGGGGAAATAACTATCAGTGTATTTTTTGCATTGTAGAATTACCAGCCATTTTTTTCAATTACCCTTCCTTTCTGGCAACATTAAGAAAGTGCAAATTCTAATAAAAAGGGAAATCAAAGATGCTATCTTCCCTAAGTTTCCAGTAATTTTCTGAAGCAATCCCTGCAAGATGCAGTCTCTTCACAAAACAAAACAACTGCCATAAAGGGTGCAAAGGGCCAGTTACTCAAGGTACCTAACTTTATTATAGCATTACAGGATGGTTTGGGTCAGAAGAGATCTGAAGAGCACCATTACATTGATCCCAGAAATCTAGCGATGAGCACTGTCTGTTGAAAAAGGCTCTATGCTCTGAAGCACCCTCCTGTTACCATTTTATCATGCAGGAGTAGCTGGAAGGGACAGTTTTCTTGGATTTTGTAGGAGGAGCAAAAGGCAGGAAGCATTTCTCCCTCGAGAGAATCATTTCATGAAACGGCAGAAAGCATTCATTTGTTCTGCTGGTGGTAAAGATATAGTTTGAAAGAAAGTAACCAGTTATAGTAATAGAAGTGCACTGTAAATAGGTATACACTCCATATCCTGCTATCAAGGGATGTGGAAAGAAAAGCTAGATGGACCACACTGATGTCTAGATCAAAAAGTCATTTTGCTGGCAGGTCCGACCTGAGCAACAAAGCAACACAGACCAAGAATTTTTGCCTTCATTGGGAAGTTTCTTCTCTAATCTCTCTCCTCCGCCCCTAACATCTTTGGGGCCTTCCAAGTAGCCTTTACTTTGGCCTCTTGGTGCAATTAAGCATTTATATTTACTGTTTGTTTGTTTGTTTCTAGGATTCACAAAGGTACAATGGTTTCTGTATTTTCTCTTCTTTAGATTATTGCCAATTTTAAAATCTAATTCCTAAGATTTACAAGAAAAATACTAAACACACTGAGAAAGAAAAAGGGGAGAGTATAATACTGCCACACAAAGATACACAGACTATTTCCCATGCATGGCAAAGACTTAATTTTGCTCCTTTACATCAAGTTTCAGCCTGAAGTAATTTGTTGAAGCAAGGTCATAATAGAGACACCAACACAACCTTAATTACAATATAAATGCTACAGCTATATTTTACAACCTCCAGTAAAATCATATGCACTATACTCAGAACAGGATCACTTTTGGGGGCCCCAGGAGCTTTGAGATTAAAAAAAATATATATTAAAAGGGAGAAAAATGAGTTTTAAACTCATTTGCCTAATATTCATGTAGAAGAAGGCTGGAAGAATTGCCTTAAATTACATTGTGTATAGCACCAGAGAACTATTTTTTCTTCTGTTTCTGTTATTATCTCTGAGTCCAAAGAAAATTACTGGCTGGATGCAATCAAGTTCCTTGCTGTTAATTGCTTTCAAATCAAAATGGGAGCTGGCAGAAAAGCTTGATATCTGGTAGTAAGAACTACTTCCTTGGACTGCTGCTGTAATCTAGCCGGTTCACAAGAAGGGGGAAGCTGCCAAGACACGGTACTGTCATTCTAATATGTGACAAGGTAGCCTGAACATTCCTGCCCTTCTCAAACATTAAATCTTTTTTTTTTTTTCTTTTTTTTCTTTTTTGCTTTTCTATTCTTTTCCCCCAGGCTTCTTCAAGTTTGATTCTTCCCAATGTACAGATTTGCTTTTTATCCTTCAAAATGCAAGGTTTCACAAGTGTCAGTTCCCCATTACAGAAACAAACTTCTAAATGGTGACGAGCAGTAGCACACTGACCCAGCATCATCCAAACCTCTAAACTCTGAACTTCCTATCAATAGTCTACCTTAAACTTGTTTACAACCATATTCATGCAAATGTTGAAGCTTTTTAATTCTTTTAAAAACTGACACCAGAGGTTAGTAGATCTTCTCTGATTCCTATGAAGAAGCCTATTTACACACAGGAGCATAAGATTCCTGTTCTGTAGGAAAACATCCAAGAGAAGAATGAGCCATGTCTGGCGCTGGCCTCTTCAAACCTGCTGATAATTAGGAAGTTCCCACTTTGAACCATAAAACCCGAACTATTCAACGCTTGATCAACATTAACTTTCAAACATCAAATAATTATATAACTTTTACATTGGGAGTTAGGTTAATAACATTAGGTTATTGAGGAAATACAGAAGACGCTGTTTTTTCTCAACTTCACCTCCAGTGACATTCGACAGACAGAGCTAACTAAATAAACGTAGATGTCAACTGGTGATTATTAAATATTTTTGTTACTTCAAAATTAATATAGATTTATCTACTGCAATTCATACAGGAGCTCCACATTATCTCCTCTGAAGGAACAGCCAAATGCCACACAGAAACCCACAATATCTAAAACTTTTTAAGACAGCTTCAAAGAGTATTACGAAGAGCAAAATTTTTAGAGAGCATTCTGTGAAGACTCTTCTTCCCTGCCTCCAGT